ATATATGATTGCTGTGGTAATAAATTATACATAATACAATGCAGTATATAAATACAATAATACATGTAATCTTAAACATAACATTTATTTATACAGTACAGCTGTAAAATATAATATAATGCATTCATTGGGAAATTAATTTTAATTTATTGACAGATACAAGTGTGTTTCAATAAATATTCTGGGAAAATTAAACAATATATATAAAAACTTTTAATAAACTAAAATAATAAAGGGGATTTCCCTTTTAATTACTTAGAAGTAAATACAATATCTATCAATGTCATTTAATCATATAAGTCTTTTACAAGTTGTTATATAAAGTAAAACACTTGTGAAACTATTTTTATTAATTAACATTTTAACATATGTTCTGAAATCATTAAATAATTTTGTAAAATATTTTATATAAATATAAATACTTTTAACATAATTACGTTATAACATTCTCAACAATGTATTCAATGTTCACTAAAGGACTAATTTGCTTGGTACTTTGTGCAACAATTATTAATTGTACATCCAGAGTTGCAAGTAACAAAAAGGGCTTGAACATTACCCAGTTTGCTACGGTATATTGCGGTAAATATAAATACTTAATAATTTAATTAAATATTTATACAATAGTGAAATAAGGTGCATATTAGACATTATGCAAAAAATCATATCTAATTATTACACATTTTCAAAATTAATTTAAAATGAATTAAGAATTGTGAAATGAATAAATGTACTTACAATTTAATGAGCTCGCTATAATGATTGAGATTATCAAGTAAAACTTCATTTTTGATAGCCAATGTTATAAAACAAAATATAAAAATTAAAAATTCAACTTCTTATACATTTTATCAAAATCCAAATGTGTTTTAACTATTAACTAATATTTTAAAATACCTGTACTGTTTTATATACAGGTACAGTATATAAGTGTGATATACCGGTGTATGTTGCAAATTATTTTTGAAATTTTAGTTTCATATTTATTTTAAAAATAAGTTTACAATTTCTAATTAATATCTATTTAATATAATTGAGAGAATGTTAGATTAAAAATGTTTTTTGATTCAGATACAATTAATATATCCAAGCTACTTGTTAGAAACATTTTATTTCATTAATATGTTGTATGTTAATTGTATTAATTGTATTAATTGTATTAATTAATATTTATTAGTTGATAATTTTTAATTACATACAGTATTAATTAATATAGTTAATTAGTAGTTTAATAAGATAAAATGTACTCAGTCAGTTATACATATGAATTTTATTTTACATTTTAAAATTGTTTTATAATATTTGTGCCATAACAAATTATCATTAAATAATTATTATACACAAAATATTCGGATTTAAAAAATATCTTATATGAAATATAATACTAAATTAAAATATTATTATCAACAAGTTATTTTGTTCATAATATGTTTTAATTTAAAATCCTAATAAATACTAATTAATACTGTTTTTAATTTTATTATAAATAGAAATTAATTTAATATTTGATTTTTATTTATATATTTATAATTTAATAAAAATATAATCAACTTAATATAATATAACAATGAACTTGACGATTCTTGTGTTAAAATAATGACATTTCCTAAAAGTATAATAAAAAACATTAACATCCTGGTAATATAGTAGTAATTATTTTTTGTAATTATTAATAGCAAAATTAAATTCCACTTTTATTTACTTAACATATTAGATAAATTAAAATTAAAAATATATTTTATTTTACAAATTAATTTTTAACATTTGTATTATTAAGAAAACTATTTATTTATTTGTTGAATAAAATATAATTTTAAATGTAAATTTTAATTGTTTATTTAAAAATGTTATTTTAATTTATTGAATTCATCAAGTGTATTTAGAAAAACAACTTTATTAAATTGATTTGTAATTTGTAATTTACCTCACTTTTAATAAATCTAATTTAATCCTTTTCTTTTATTTATAATTTATATATTATAACATTTCTTTAGCAATTCATCAGGGTTACCCAGGTTATCCACACAGTCCACATATCTGGCAATTCTGATTGTCTCTTGCTCATTTTGACTGCCTTTCACAATGTACTTAATTAATTTGTCCACGCACGTTTGCCCATCTTCCGACTTATATAAGCTAGCTTGTTTACCAATATGTGCAAATCCAGATTCATCCATACATTTTCTGTACTGTTGCACCTTGTCATTACAATCGACTAGGTAATTTAATAAATTGATAATTATTTATTATAACCTCATTCAAGGTATTCAATTAAATTATTAAGTATTTATATTTACCGCAATATACAGTAGCAAACTGGGTAATGTTCAAGCCCTTTTTGTTACTTGCAACTCTGGATGTACAATTAACAATTGTGACAAAAAGTACCAAGCAAATTAGTCCTTTAGTGAACACTGAATACATTGTTGAGAATGTTATAACGTAATTATGTTAAAAGTATTTATATTTATATAAAATATTTTACAAAAATTATTTAATAATTTCAGAACATATGTTAAAATGTTAATTAATAAAAATAGTTTCACAAATGTTTTACTTTATATAACAACTTGTAAAATGCTTATATGATTAAATGACATTTATAGATAATGTATTTATTTCTAGTTAATTTATAAAGGAAATCCCCATAGTTATTTTAGTTTATTACAAAATTTTATATGTATTGTTTAATGTTCCCAGAATATTTATTGAAACACACTTGTATCTGTCAATAAATTAAGATTAATTTCCCAATGAATGCATTATATTATATTTTACAGCTGTACTGTATAAATAAATGTTATGTTTAAGATTACATGTATTATTGTATTTATATACTACAGCAATCATATACAGTATATTAATATAAATGTATATCACTTAATTTAATTTAAGTATTTAGATGTTTTTGATTAGAGTTATTGTTTCGACCAAAAATTGTTCATTGTACACATCAATATTTTGCACCTAGGTTATAAATGAATTAATGATTCTTTATTTAATCATTAACTATTTCATATAATATTTGTACATTATGAAATCATGTGCGCTATGTATACTGTAGTTTTATATTTATGATATAGATACCGTTAATGTAAACTTTTATTTTTATTTATTAATTTAACAGATACAGTATTAAACAATATGTATATGTAAAGATATGTGAAAATTATGTATCATTTATATTAAATATTGTTTATATTAAATATTCAATTACTAAATAAACATAATGCTTAAAATATTTTATATTAATTAATCACTGCATTATGTGGAAAATACAACATAAATAAACACAAATGAAATACATAACTGTAATGACTAATATTTAAAAATGTTGTAGGATCAATTTACATAATGAAATGAATTGTTATAATAACATAAGATAAAATAAAAAATACTAACAATATGTAATAAAGGATTATTAAGAGTTTGACTAAAAAAAATTAAACTGTATTGAATTTTAAAATAAAAACAATTTTATAAATTATAATTAATTAACTAGTTCTGTATTAATTATTAATTAAATATAACATAAAAAAATTAAAAGTCAAGAATTTTACATATATTATTGTATATTAGGTGTTATATAATATATAATTTATTATAGATTTTTTACTTGTACATTTCTTAAATTCTGTAATTTCTTAATATAATGTAGCAAACTGGGTAATGTTCAAGCCATTTTTGTTTCTATTAATTCTGCTAGTAAAATAAAGAATTACCCCAAAAAGTATCAACCAAATTATATATTGGTTATTATCATCACCTGAATCCATTAATATTAAAATTATTTATATTTTAAAAACGTATTTTACAATAATTATGCAATAATTTCAAAAATTTATGTTAAAATTTTAATTAATAAAAATATTTTTACAAATGTTTACTTTATATAGCTACTTGTAAAAGGCTTTTTTAATAAAATTGCATTTATCACTAATATTAAATTTTAAGTAATTTATTTTTTAAATAATTATATTTATTTTACTATTTTACAAAATTTTATATGTATTTTCCAATGTTTCCAGAATATTTATTAAAACAGCTTTGTATCTGTCAATAAAAATTAATTTCCATTTCAATGCAATGTATTGTATATTCCAACTGCATAAATAAATATTAATTATACGATTACATGAAATTATATTAATACTGTAATAATACACGATACAAATAATAAATTTAAATAATTTTTAATAATTTAAATAATAATATTTTACAGTATATGATAATCAGAATATATATATAAGTACAAAACATGTGTTATTACTTATGGCAACAATTATAATGCATAATTGAATTAATGATTGTCTATTTAATCATTCATTATATCATACGAAATTAATGTAATGTAATACAATATTCAGTGTGTTAAAAATTTTATAATATAGATACCCTTACTGTAAAATCTTACATTATCATTGTATAATTTAACAGATATTAAATAATATACATTATAAGTATAAAATATTTGATTATGCCACTTATTGTTCATTATATAGACACTCCACAATTATCATTAAATAAATATTACCTATTTAATAAACTAGCGTATACAAACAAAATGAAATGATTACAAGGTTAAACCACTAAATTATTTAATTTTGCATCATAAATTATAAAAATAAATAAATAACCCACACATTTAAAATATTGCAAATAATTTATTTTATTTCAGATAATAGTTAATTTTAACCAGTAACATTATTACTGTGAAATTAGTGGTGTAGCAAATAATCAAGGCGCTTAACAGCTACCTGTTCATACTGTTCCTCCCAGTTCATATTATGCTCAACCAGGTGCAATTGATCCAGGTTTTCGGCTATGTCTACATCATGCCTGTATTTTTCCAATAGTTGGATAGCCCCCTTAAGATCCTTAAACTCCTCGGTCGTATTCACCTTGGTGTTTTCGTAGGTTTTAATATCATTTTGAATTAACTTTGCCAGTGCATCAATTCGACCATATAGTTGCTTTCGTAAACCTTCTAGGTCCTCGGTTCTTACTATTTATTTGTATATAATAAATTAAAACTTTTAAATTTGTAAGATTATGATAGGTTAGTTAGTTTTCAAATATTTATGGGTAATAAATTATCAGTAATTTAACCATATATTTTTTATGACTAATTGTATATTTAATACAAAAATAATAATAAATAAAATGATAAATATACTAGAAATAATTTAAAATATAAATAAAATTTTAACTTACCTAGTACAACAAAGGCAAATACAAATAATAATGCGTACTTCATAATTGTAATTTGTGTTAAATTTTTTCGTAAAACAAAGTGAACTAGTTTAACTATTATATTAACCCTTTGTTTTCATAGCTATTTATACTATTTTTTAATAAAATGATTTTAATCTAAACCTCAAGTGGTTTATTGAAAGTGATAAATAATATAGACTATTAACTTTGGTTTAAAGTATAAACTAGTGCAATTAATACCCATATGCTATGAACCCACAAAAATTATGTAAACAATATTTTTGATAACAATTGAATTGACGGCATAATTTGTAAATTGATAGAAAATACTTAACTATTTTTAGATTACATGTGACTTTAATATATAAATATTATATAAACATGTAATTACATTATTTCATTTATTTCTATCAATTTGGATAATAAATGATACCAGATGATTTCACATATGGATAGAAATTTGAAATAGTGTATAACTGATTTTAAGTTAATTTATTTAAAAAATAGTTAGAAGTATTACATTAATTATAAAAATATTAATTTAATCATATTAGACCTATTTAAATGCATGCATATTAAATTTACTGTTATAATAATAATTTATAAATTTTAATAATTTTATAATAAATAATTACAGAAATAGAATTAATTTGATTAATAATTTTAATTCATTATGTTTAAACATAATAACAATTTGACATAAATATATATTCAATATAAATTATAATATAACCATAGAGATTGTATTATCATTTATATGAATATAATATAATCTTATTAAAAATAATATCAACTTTTGTTTAATTATAAAGTAATAATTTTTTTATATCTTATACACATAACTGTAATTATATTATTATTACAACATAATGTGATAATATTATATAATATGTAAGATTTTACTGAATGAATATATTTTAGTTTAATTTTATAATTGTATATTGTTTAACAATTTATATTTTTAAGTCATAATTAATTAAAATGATTTATTTTTTATAGCGTTACAAACGTTATAATTACTATTAATAGATTAACTGATAAATATTATATATAAAAGGTAATTATATTTTTAAAATATTATATATAATATAATATAACTAGGATAATCATTAACAATTGGTTGATAAATTATAAATTTTATAAATAAAAACAAATATAATGCTGTTAATATTAAAATTATTAACTTGGCTTATATTAGTAAAATAAATACCAGTAAAGTATTAACAAGGACATCAAAAACACACCTCCCGCAATAACCTTTATTGCCGTACTAGCTAAACACTGACCATGGCCTATTTTGCACTTCAAGCCGTAATCACCGGATGACATATAACAATCATGGTCAGTTTTGCATTTATAATAAACACACTTCCCCCCGTTGATCACTCCATAAATGGTTAGGTGCGCACCTACACTCACCAATTATACAGATCTCATTCTCGGCACAGGTAGTATGTGCCCCATCACATTT